GCCGCATCTGTTTCAAAAACAAACATCATTTCCATTCCTTGTGGCGTCATTTTCATTTTTTAAATGGAAATTTTTGCTGAGCTATTCGGCCTCAGCAAAATTTGCTGGGATTGACACACAAACACATACATTTCTTACCGGACGATTTTGCTGAGATACCCCGCCTTTCAGTACCAACTCAGCAGCTTGCTGAGTTCAATTCCCAATTTCCAACGCTTCGTTGGAAATTCAAAAACAGCGGTTGCAACAGGGTGTTTCGTATAAAATACAAACTCAAATCAACCGCTGTAATCCAACTTGACATTTCTGTCTAATTTGAATGACAGCTGCAATTTTTTTTTTCATTTTTTTTCTTCGGTCGCATACAAATACAAAAAAAAACGAGAAAAGTTGCAGTGCAAAAGTGAAAAAAAAGTTATTAAACAATTAAAAATTAACTAGAATTCTCGAAAAATAATAAAAAACTAAAAAATAATACTATTATAAGTGTAAAAGAACTGAAAAAAAGCCATTAAAGATGTTTCGCACAGCTTTTGATAAAAATTTGGGTAAAATTTTCACAATCACAAAAAAGAAAAAACAATGAAAGAATTTTCAATGTTTTTGTTGCAAAATTTGCAAATGTCTATAGTAAAAGTAGAATAAAAGAAAGTGACTCATCAATTAAACGCAAATTTGTTCATTTGAACTTAAAAAATCATAATAAACAATTTATAGTTTAATGTCACTTAACAAAAGAAACATGTTCTTTAACTGATAAAAAATTGCTTTGTTAAACATTCTAGATACTGCCACCAGCCACTTGCAACTGGAGCCAGAATGGCCTGCTATAATGTTGATATGCGATGCGATCAATCAAAAGGATACCACGTAATTTATACATTTTTATAAATTTCCTTGTTTTCAATTAATAATTTATTTGTTGCTTTTAGTCCAAAGGCCGCCTTTGCTGCCATAAAAAAGAAAATGAATTCCACAAATCCCCATACGGCTTACTACGCTCTATTGGTTTTGGAAAGTGTTGTTAAGAATTGTGGTGCTCCTATGCATGATGAAGTTTTCACCAAGGAAAATTGTACCATGTTTAGTCAATATTTAGAATCGACTACTCATGAAAATGTGCGTGGTAAAATGCTGGAATTGGTCCAAACCTGGTCTTATGCATTTCGTAATACGGATAAATATCAGGCCATAAAGGTGAGTTGTAAATGTGGAGGAGGTTAGGTTAGGTTGATAGGAGGATGTATACTACATCAAATCCGAAGAAATACACCTAGGCCACTATCGGGCCTGTTGTGCGCTCCAATTCAAGAAAAAAAAAAATTGTTCACTGAATGTATTATTTTTCCATGTTCAGAAACTCAGTTTCCTGGACGTAATTCCTAAGAATCTTCCAATCGGTGTTGGTTAAGAATGTTATTTCCGGAATAACATCACTTCCAAGATACTTGGATCTAACTTCGACGAATGCCTGACAATGGCAAAGAAAGTGCTCCAGAGTTTCACTGTCCTCTCCACATGCTCTACATTCGTCTGAATCCGCACGTCCAATTTTGTATAGATGTGCTCGTAATCCTGTGTGTCCACTGAGAATACGTACCATCATACTAACCTCAGACTTGCTCATTTTGAGAAGATTTCTCGTCTTGCTCTCATCAGGGTCACCCCATAGAATCTTTGTGGTTCTACCCACCGTGAGGCCTTATGGGATTCTCTCATCCATATTTTTAATTCAGCTTTTGGTTCAGTATATGTAGACATTTTTGTCTTTCTTGTGAAAAGACAGATTTCCGTCTTCGCCGGGTTAACATTGAGGCCTCTCGGTTGAGCCCAGCTCAAGGCCGTATTCAGAGCCTCCTCAGCTCTTCTACACAAGTAATTTGGATCCTTTCCCTTTAAAAGTATTACGACATCGTCTGCATTGCAGACAGGTCTAAGTCCTTTCTTGGTTAGGGTCCTTAGGAGGCTATTAATCGTGGTAACCCAGAGTAAAGGTACAAAATGCCACCCTGTGGTATACCGCGAAATACCTTTTTCCTGATAGTTATATCGTACATCTCGCAGCTTATCCATATGTTCCTTAGCATGTAGTTGATCCAGTTACGGAGCACCCGGTCAACATAAAACTGGTCTAGGGATTGGATAAGGGTATCAGTGTAAACGTTATTGAAAGCGCCTTCGATGTCAATGCATACTGCCAGTGTATACAGTTTGCTATCGAAAGATTCACCTATGTAGTGGACAACTTCATTTAAAGCGGTTTCCACCGATCGTCCCTTTACATAAGCATGCTGCTTATATTTAAGGTCTTTGTATGGTATGCCGCTTTTAACCATGCTATCGACTATCCGTTCCAAGGTTTTAAGTAGGAAGGACGTAAGACTTATCGGTCGATAGGACTTACGTGTCGCATAGCTAGGTTTCCCTGGTTTGGGTATAAATATTACCCTTGCATCCTGCCATTTAACTGGGGTATATGCCAATTTTAAGCATGCAGTGAATATCTGTGACAGATGTACGGAAACCAGTCCCGCCTCCATCTGCAAAATGTGGAGGAAGTGTGAAGTAAAATTGTGTTTTGTATATTCTTAAATTATAGTTGCTAAATTTCTACGCCAAGTTTATCATCTTTAGTTATTTTAGTAAATATTGAGTAATTTTTTTCAAACACCTCGCTTGATAGTGCAGTATAATCTAAAAGAGAGAATTCTCACTCTTTCAGGTTATTCTGTACTATCAAGGGCTAGTGGGGGAATAGTCATTAATTAAGTTTTTTAATTAGCACTTAGAGTTATCTTTAGCCATCAGACCACCAAACGACCAGGTGACTACCCTGAAAGGCGTGCGAAAGGTTGTCCACAAAAAAAGTCATTTAGTCAAACAGTTTTGAAAGCGATTATACATTGCGTCAAAGATCTAAGTCACAACTGCCTAATCCCCGACAAGCGCTCTTAAACATTCGCGTAAGGAGACCATTAAGAGTAGACGATCTACAAATGATAAATCTCTAACGTCGAATAAGAAAGTCAAGAAGTATGTGAGACAGGTTGAAAATATTCAGGCAACTGTTATCTACCAATTTAACTATAAAATGGATAAAAGTATACAATGTTTAAAACGATATTCGAAATGACTGACTCAATTTTAGTTCTTATTAAACATTGACCTATTATCACTGGAGATCCGTAACGTACTTATCTTGAAAGTTTGGAGAGAATTCATTAATAGATTCTTTGTTAAGTCCTGAACTCTTTGGCCAAAGGCATTCTTTCTTTTTTCTAGTAGTTATTTAAATCTGTCTCATTTAAGTGCAACTGTTTCTACATAGAATACTTTGTAAAATATAAGCATAAAATGAACATGACAGACAATGTTTTTAGGGGTTGTAAAATTTGTTTGTTAATTTAATTAACAACTTTTTGTAGCATGAAAAAAGTAATACATTTAAATAGGCAAATGAACAACAATTTAAAAAAGAACTTTATTTGTACAAGTTTTACTTTTTATTTAAATAAAAAAAAAATATAATGAGTTCCGAAGAAGAAGATTTATTGTAGATGATGTATCAGAAGAGGTTGATATTTTAAAATGTAGTGTTATTTTAAATTGAATTCTGTTTTCATATCTCTCATTTTAGGATACTATGACTATTTTAAAAACTAAAGGTCATCAATTTCCCGAACTAAAAGAAGCCGATGCCATGTTTACCATGGACACTGCACCCAATTGGACGGATGGTAAAAAATGTCATCGTTGTCGTGATGATTTTTCATTTACTAATCGCAAACATCATTGCCGCAATTGTGGTCAAGTGTTTTGTGGTCAATGCACTAGTAAACAGTGTCCTTTACCTAAATTTGGTATTGAAAAAGAGGTGAGTAAGTGTGTGAGTAGTTTGTTTATGTAGGTGGGTGGTGGTTTACTAATAACTTTGTTTCATTCTTTTGTTTAAGGTACGTGTATGTGATGGCTGTTTTGCTCAATTGCAACGTCCCGCTACTGTTAAAGCAACCACTGCACGCACTGCTACTGAGAGTGATTTGCCAGCGGAGTATTTAAATAGTTCATTGGCCCAGCAAGTGCAGGTGAGTTATTTACTTGATTTTGTTTATTTCTATTGTTTTTTATTTTTGTAGCTCTCTTTGTTTACTTATTTTATTTGGAAATTGTGTTAATTTTATTTTGATTTGTTTTACAGACACCTCCCCGTAAAACGGAGCAAGAATTGAAAGAGGAAGAAGAACTACAATTGGCTTTGGCATTGAGTCAGTCCGAAGCAGAAAGTAAAAAACAGCAGCAGCAACAACAAGTATGTATTTAATCTGTGTTAAGTGTGCGAACACGCTACACTTGTAATCTAAAATATTTAAGACAAAATGCATTAATTGCGAACTCATAAAACTTCTTCCATTCCATATGTCCAATATATAAAAATATTGCTTCAAAATCTGTGTAACTCATTTCAAATTCGTTGTTGCCTTATCACACATTTTCTTTATACACTTTTATCTTATCTCTAGCAAATGCAATGAAAACAAAGCAAATTATGATTTATTTTGCTTTAATAAAAAATCAATTTTATTTCATATGATTTCTTTTCTTTATTCAAAAAAATTGTTTTCTCAGTCTTTAACAGCCACTGCTTATCGCTTGCAACAACGTACACCCAGTCCCGAGGCACCACCAGTACCTAAGGAAACCCAAGCAGAAGAAACCAATCCGATTTGGCAAAATATTTAAATCGTTCGTATTGGGAACAGCGCAAAGTTAGTGATTCACCCATGGCTAGTCCATCGGCTCCTAGTCCCCATGCCACCAACACCACAACCCCAGCAGCAGCAAATGACTTTAACAGCTAATGATTTTCGTCCCAGACAACGGATGAACAGAAAATTGATGAATTTGCTGCCAATATGAGGACGCAAGTAGAGATCTTGTTAATCGCATGAAATCGAATTCGAGTCGTGGACGTAGTATCTCTAATGATAGTTCAGTACAGACTCTCTTCATGACCCTTACAGGTCTTCACTCCCAGCAGTTGTCTTATATAAAAGAATTGGATGACAAACGCATGTGGTATGAACAATTGCAAGATAAATTAGTGCAAATTAAAGATTCTCGTGCCGCCCTGGATGATTTACGCAACGAACATGCCGATAAATTAAGACGCATGGCCGAGGAACAGGAACGCCAGCGTCAAATACAAATGGCCCCAAAAATTGGAGATAATGCGCAAAAAGAAACAGGAATATCTACAATATCAAAGACAATTGGCTTTGCATCGCATACAAGAGCAGGAACGTGAAATGCAAATGCGCCAAGAGCAACAAATGGCTCAATATCGCATGAATCAAACTGCATTTAATTTTATGCCCAATATGGCGGGAATGCCACCACAAGGTTCAACTTTCCACAAATGCCTGGTGTCTATAATCCCTACTCACCTAGTCACACTACAGCTGGGGCTGGAGTAGTTGGTATGCCCGGCCTCTTATCCTACTCAAAGCAGGCATGACAGGTGTATTGCCTGGCATGTATAGTCATGCATGCTTCACTTGCCAGGGCAACCACAGCCACCACAGCAAATAGATGCTGCAGCAAACCACCAATAAATCAGCAGCAGGCAGATGGTAATCCTCATGAAATAATTATTGAATTGGAAGAGCTCCACAAAATGGCCAGATCAACAGCCAGTAACTGGCTATCACCACATCAACAGCCACACCACAACACAACAGCAGCAGGCCACCACAAGCAACAAAATGGCACCACCACCCAGCAGGCAATCAACAACACCACTTAGCCCCTGTAATGTTGCAACAACAGTTATGCACGGATCAATCTCCCCTACCCAATATAGGCAGTCCCCGCTAACCAGGAATGTAGCCAGTAGTACCCTCAGCATCAGCCACAAACAACAGGCACCAACAGCAAGAATGTTGCTCCCACAACTATGGCGCAAGTTCCACCACCCACCGGGCACCACAAACCAAGCAGCTGCTCCCACTATTCCCACACCACAAGCCTCATCCCAAATCCAAGCTGTACAATCAGCCCCTGCTCCCCCACAAAACGAACCCGAACCTGCTGCTCCACCAGCAGTAGAAGAACCTGCTACCGCTGAATTAATAAGTTTCGATTAAAATGTTTCAAATTCTAGATCTTTACTAACACATACTATTTTTTCATTTAAAATTCAGTTTGATTTTTAATTGTTTTGTTGTTTGCTTTTATTTTTTTAATGCTTATTTTTTATCATTCCTTTCTTTTAAAAATGTATGCAAAAAAGAAATTTAGATGGATTTCATACATTTGATTTATACTTGTATTATTCTTACTCTTTTATTTGTTCTTTGAACTTATTATTACTCTACGATTACATTATACATACATATACATATATATTATTACCAAGTAAAAAAAACGCTAAAACAAATAGTAGTACTAAAACATATTATTGCAATTGTTTTATTAAATAAAATTTATATTACTCCAATTAAATTAAAAATGTATATTTTATTAATATTACAGCAAATTTGACTGAAAAGAATCATATTGTAGAACATGTCCAAAGTCCATAAAACTCTGACGTGCAAATTTGCCTTTATAATGTAGTGTTTTTATACATTAATTGTTGACAGATCGCTCAGAAACATTCAGAAATCTCCATTGTCCGTTATCTGAATAACCAAGATATTCTCCTGATGAAACCTAAAATGTCTCTTAAATCACATCCTGCTACATCTCCCTGGATTTAATTTCGGCCATAGTGTCCTAGAAACCCTGCAATCCAGCCTACTATGACTATAGTAATAACAGATATAACCCTGTATGGCCAATTCATCTGCGATCTCCTTTCCTTGAATATCACAGTGTCCCGGTACCCAATACAGCCTTACTGTGTATAACATGACTAATGATTCCAGGAACCTTTTGCAGCTAGTTACCAAGCTAGAATGTAACGTGTAACACTGCAAAGCTTTAATTGCAACATAAATTGTTACTTCCGACGAACCCTAGTGATGTGTGTCTTAATAATATCCACGACTTTCCAGATTGCCAAGATCTTCGCCTGGAAGACGCTACATTTGTGTCTACAGGACACTCTTATGTTGACATCAACCAGAAAAACTCTGGCCCCTGTGCCAGATTCCATCTTAGATCCATCAGTAAAGACTGCATGCACATCCCTCAAACAGTACATTGGACCCACTTGTTCCTACTAGGAATCACTATTGAATTGCCGTAACCAAATGATCAGAAATACCCTTCGTACTTCTTTCAATTCCTGTATTTCTCAATGGGCAGCAGATTTAAATTAATATTCAATGCCGCCCTCGGTATACTATCCCTAGCACTAGTTTTGCCGATAGAAACACACCACTGAACTTTATCGAGTCTATAGCTGCTTTTCCTGTTTTCACCCTCAATCCATTACCATTAGCCCAGGTTGATAGTTCACTTAATGCTGACTGCATGACTTCAATGATTATTGTGAGAAATTTACCCTTAACCAGTATCATCATGTCATCCGCATAAGAGACTATTTTACTATCTTTAGATCCAAAGATTCTGAGGATAGAGTTGACCACCAGTAACCATAGTAGGGGTGATAACACTCCTCCTTGTGGAAGGTAACTCGTTTCCAAATCCTATCGTCCCATAAGTTTGGGTGGATAATTATGCTATCAAACATCGATACTATCCAACTCTCTGGGAAATCCTGAACCCCGAGTACGACTAGCAACGGCCTGATGGCATCTATTCTAATGTTAAAGGCGCTTTCTATATCCAAAAACGCG